TGGACAGGGACCACAGCAGTAACTGGCAGTGGAAGAGAGGCTAAGGCTAGAACAGAGACCCAAGGGTGCCATCTAGGAACTACGGGAGACATCAGCTCGGCGATATCATCTTCAACTTAGAGCCCTAAAACACTGCCCAAGATTCCATCTATTCCCTCCCCACATAGTGCTTTAAGAAATTGTTTTCAGGATGAGCAGGTATGTGGCTAGGTTGGCAGAACAGAGGCATGCAAAAAGTTGTCTCATGCTGGAGGCCCTGGGGTCCATCCCCAGTACCACCAGGTAATTGGGGAGAGGGGGTTCTCTACCTAGACTTTGCTCCAGAAACAGGCAAAAAAGATAGAGAGAAGAGAGAAGAGAGAGAGAGAGAGAGAGAGAGAGAGAGAGAGAGAGAGAATATCTGTTAGCAGATCTCTTGAACTTGACCTCTCCCAATAAAATCTTTATCTTCATTACAAGAGTCTCTTCCAGGACTGCCCAGGAAGCCAGGGACCCATCAACCCTGGTAAGAAGCAATTAAGTCTAACTATCCAAGCCCAATCATGAGGCAATAGTTTCCAATAAACTAGCAAGGACCAGAAGGTTTGACCATTGTCAGTGGGACTCTTCTCCACACAAAACATATACTTTATAGTTATGCAACTCAAGACCTGTAGCAGCCCCTGGGAGCTTGTTAGAAACAGTCTCCCTGGGTATGATGGGTTTACAATCATAGTACTTGGCAGAGAGAGATTGGGGGATCTCAGTTCAATTCGAGGTTAGCCCCAGCATAAAAATCTGAGAGACTCCATCTCAACAAATGGCTAGGCTTGGTGGCACATGCCTCTTATCCCAGCTATAGAGGAAGCACAATAGCTAAGGCAGGGGTACGTATCTATCATCCCTAATAACGTAGGGAAGTGCAAGTAGGAGGATGAAATCCCAGACTGACCCGGTCATGAAGTGAGTACTTGCCTCAAAAATAACCAATGGAGCTGGGCATCATTGGCTCAGGTCTGTAATCCTAGTGACACAGGAGGCTGAGTTCTGAGACCAAGGTTCAAAGACAGGCCAGATAGAAAAGTCCATGAGACTCTTATCTCCAATTAACTGCTAAAAAGTGGAGCTGTGGCTCAAGTGGACTGAATTGAATTCAGGCCCTGAATCCAAGCCTCAGTACCAATGCATGCATATACACAAAAGAGAGAGGGGGAGTGAGAGAGATGGAGACAGAGACAGAGAGACAGAGAGTCAGAGAGTCAGACAGAGACAGAGAGGAAGGGAAGGGAAGGGAAGGGAAGGGAAGGTGAAGGGAAGGGAAGGGGAAGGGAAGGGAAGGGAAGGGAAGGAAAGGGAGGGGAGGGGAGGGGAGGGGAAGGGAAGGGAAGGGAAGGGAGGGGAGGGGAGGAGGAGGGAAGGGAAGAGAAGGGAAGGGAAGGGAAGGGAAGGGAAGGGAAGGGAAGGGAAGGGGAAGGAAGAAAGGATCAAGTGGCAGATTGCCTAACTGGTAAGTCAAGGCCTGGACTTCAAACCCATGACCACAGGATGTCCACACAGGGGCCCTGAGAGAGCCTCTCTCTTCCTTCAGTGGCAGAGCCCCCCCCACCCAAACCTGCCTCCAATCCACAGGCAGCTCCCAGCATGCAACTGGGCACATAATTATCGCATAAGAGAATGTAAACTCCCATTAGAGGGTATGAACAAGGTCAGGGACACTCCTCTTCCCCCATGTTCTCCTGACCCTCACAGAAACCCTAAAAATGATTTAGAAGACACTGCAATTTGCCTGGAGCCACACAGGCAGTGGGAGCTGAGTTGGATTCAGATGCCCACTGAGGGTGGGCTGAGCAGCCAACATTATGCATAGCAACAGGGCTCAGGATTGCAGCCCCATTTTAACCACACAAGTAAACCACATCCCACAGCACAGACCTCCTAAAACTCTGGGTACCAGACCAGATCATCCAGGCTCCTTCTACCTCTATGCTTTGCCTACTGAGTCAAGGCCCTGCATCTGCTACCTCATACCACACACCATGCTGACTGCAAACCTTGCTACTGGCTCGACCACTTCCATAGCCAGGCTCCTGGCCCCCAGCCCAGTACAGACTTCCTGAGACCCACCTGACTCTGTGCTCAGGGACCACTGTAGACAAACGAATCCCAGACACTGGTCCTATGTATTTCTGTCCAAAGATTAAGTACACTCAGAAGCCTAATTCCTAAATCCGTGTTCTTTTCCATGAACTTGCATAGCCTTGTATAATCCATTTGAAGAAAAAAAAAAGCAAAATTTAATATCCAATCTAATTCCAGGATCAAATATGTCTCATTGACAAACTTAAAGAAGAAAACAAAAAACCTTAAGTACCAAATGTCTTGCAACCCCAGTTGTGGCCCAGAGATCAGCAACAGCTGCCTCCCGTAAGAGTAAATTAGAAATGCAGGTCCTCAGTGTTGTATGAGACAAAATGTAGGGTCAGGGGCATGGCTCAAGTGGTAGAGCACCTGCCTAGTATAGTCAAGATCTTGGTTTTAATCCTCAACCCCACAAAAAATGAAGATGGAAAATTGGGTATAGGTGGCTCATGCCTATAATCCTAGATACTCAGGAGACTGAGAATTGAGGATGGCAGTTGAAAGCCATCCTGGGCAGAGAAGTCCATGAGACGCTTATCTCCAATTAACCACCAAAAAGCTGGAAGGGATCTGTGGCTCAGAAGGTAGAGTGCCAGCCTTAAGCATAAAAGTGAGTGGACAGTTCAAGCCCTAGTGTACACACACACACACACACACATAAACACACACACACACAAAAGAAGGGGAAAAGGAAGGGAACAATATAGTTACCAGGCAAGGTATTGGTGGCATTAATAATGTGGCTGTTTTGTAGGAGTCTTTAAGCTGTAAACTTTCACTCTAATCTTAGAAGACCTAGTTAGTTCCTGTGGCAGAACTAGTATAGGGCAGAGACCCCTCCCAGGTAGTCACTGAAGTATGCTGTGCTGTGTACTTGGACCTAAATAGTACCTCGTGAACAGGGAGGTATTTTTCCCTCAGACCCAGGCATCAACCCAACCCTACAAAACTAGAATCTGCATTTTCTCAGGAGATACCTCCCACACCAGGATTTGCATCCACATTAGTGTTGAAGTAATACTGACATTGTAGCCAAGTATCTGTACAGGTACACTCTGATGTGCCCCAGGACCCAGATTCTTCTTAATACAATCCAAGTCTAAGAACTGGCTTAGATTTTGCTGAATGTGTCCTCGATTATCAACTACTCAACATGGTTGTATTTTTCCCCCTCTAAGCACAATAAATGCTGGTAGCTATTTATCAATAAAACACTTGCTAAATGAGAACAGTAGACTTGAACTAAATTTAAAGTTGAGGTTTCATATTTCGATGCCTAAATTATATTACAAATCAAAAACAAATGGCTCAATGACTCTCTTCCCTGAACCATTGCTAAAAGAAGGATCTACTCTCATAATTAAATAAAGACAAGAATTCATTTTGCAGGTCTTTTTTAAAATAACATCTCTAAAGAACTTTTACAACTTAATTATTTTTCTTGTTCAGGATTAATGACAAGCTAGTGAGAAGGAAGGAGGAAGGATGGTATCTGAGAAAGAGTTAAATGTTTGGAGTTTTTTCATATGAACTAGTATGAACTTGAGGTCTCTTGAAAGGGGTCCTCCTGAAAGGGAACATCCTCCAAGGCCTCCTCCAAAGAAAACTTGAACTTGGCTGTGTTGTTGTCTTGTGGAAAGCAAGCATGGTATACAGTCAGTGCTCAAATGTTAAACACACACACATGCATACATACACACACAAAGAGAGAACATCGCAGGGAATCTGAGATCCTGAAATAGCCATATTTGTTTAAACAGTATAGACCAAGTATCTACTAGTATGTCAATGCACTCTTGGGTAGCTGTGGAAGGAAGGAGCTGTAGGGGCAACGGCAACTTTCTTTCTGCTCCATGAAGGTCTGTTGAGTCTATAAAGCAAGCTGTAATGAGTAGCTTATCCAGAAAAAAGACATACACAATTATTGACATAGAAGTACATGAGAGTCAGACTCAAAAAGACCAGATGGTTATAGTTTTAATAGCTTCTTCCCAGGGAGCAAGAAAAGTTGTAGCTGTTCATAGTATTAAAGGAAGAAAGATGGGAGGGTACTTAAACTCAGGGCCTGGGTGTTCTCCCTTAGGTGTAGGCTGGTGCTCTACCAGTTGAGCCACTGTTCTGCTTTAGGCTTTCTCCTTGTAAATTGGAGATAAAATAATAACAGCCCAGGTTGGTTTTGAACCACAATTCTCATATCTCAGCCTCCTGGATAGCTAGGATTACAGGCATGAGCCACCAGTGCTCTGCTAGGAAGAGAGATTTTGAGAGGTCATAAATGGGCCAATAGACAATAGCTTGGATATCAATGACAGTCTGTCTTCCTGTGAACTAGTCTGCCCTTTTAGCTAGATAGGAAAGCATCAGAGAAAACCCTTTCCTGAGCTTCAGAAAGAAAACCAGATGAGATGAAAGGTGGGGAGAAAGGGGTCAGAGAGACCTTGGTTCTATCTTGGAGAGTCATTTTCTTAGCCCACCAAAGCCTACTTGAAAGAATAATAGGCATCACTATGGATCTGCAGAGCTCAGGGTATCTCCTGAGGTCCACATGGTAGTCTAATTCCTTGCAGCATCTACAGAGCCTGACAGCTTGTCAGACATAGAGAGCCTCTGGCTCTATCTCAGGGTCACTGAATCAGAACCTACAGCCCATAGGATCCTGTGAGAAGTTCTTTTCTAGAAGCACTGGTTCCTGTCTGAGAAGCACCACTCTGAACGCAACTGGGAAGCACTGAATCCTGAGTGGCCAGGAGCACAGTAGTTATCAGGGCAATCTACACCAAGATGCAAGCTTGCTCATTTTCTCCATCCAGGCAGATGAAGAACTGCATCCCACCATGGTCTTGAAGTGAAGTATGCCTGTGCTTTAGACAATGAAATAGTAGATCAAATAATGTGCCACCCTTAGGCAAAAGCTTTTAAAACAATGTGCAATTTAACACAACTCTGCAGTAAGATTCCAAGAGTGGTTACTCTATAACCCTGGGTCCTGAGGTTGTGTAGCCTCAAACTAACTCTCATCAGACACAGCATGAGCAAGAAGCAAACCTATGTTGTTTTAAGTCACTGAGATTGTTTTATTATGGCAGCTTGTTTTAACACATCCTGACTGATAGATGGTCTCTGCCCCTAATGTGACTGACTGTGTTTGGAACATTGCTGTTACTCTTCCCTGGGAAGTGACCAAACCTATCATTATTTGAAGGGAGGACCTCTCTTGAATCTGATCGACCCTTTCTAACTCAAGACCTATCACTCAAATTTCACTCCATCATCTTTTTCCTTTTCCTTGTTTTCTCCTCTCTCCTTCCTCGAATTTCACACATTTATGCTGTTATCTGAATGTGCCATATGCTTTTTGGTAAGCTGCCTTAAGTCCTTTCTACGACAAGGTGACAGACAGTCACACCACAGACACACCAGACTTGGTTTCAGAGGAATACTGAAATTTTTTTATGTCCTACCCCAACCCCCAAATAACAAAAACCTGTTGTTAACTTGGGATATTTCAAATAGAGTGGCCCGGGACCACAGTGTAGTCTTTCAACCTGTACTTAGGGAATGTGCTGTACACATAGTCCTGTTCTTAAAAAGCAGTTTACTCACAACAAAACACCAACTATTTATCTTCACCATAAGAAGTTTAAACGATGCCAATTTCTTGAGAATCGGCAGCATCATTGGCAGCATTTTTAGTTTTGAAATTCAGCTTCAATTTAGTTGTGTTGTATGGTGTGTGCGCGCATGTGCCCACACCTAGATTTGTGTTAAGCACAAATCTAAAGCCTGATTTTAACCAGTTCCCCCAGGTGGGTATTTAGGATGTAGCCAATCTCTACCCTCAAGGGACATGAGGAGGCCTAGCAGAGGCCTCCTAAATGGAAATTTCTAGATATGCAACTGTGAGGCTATGTGTGTTGTTCATGCTTTTAAATACCATAGCATGATTTTCCTGTTGCCTGGAAATACACATTTTGTACATTATGTTGTGTTGTTGTTGTTGTCAGTTGTGGGGCTTGAACTCACTTAAGTCTGGGGCTCTACCACTTTGAGCCATAGTGTCACTTCCAAAATACACACTTTCTAAAATGATTTTGATATTATTTTTTAAGAGATTTTGGCCTCTCAATACTAGGTAGGTGCTCTACCACTTCAGTCATGTTTCCATCCCCTTTTTCCACTGGTTATTTTTGAGGTAGGGTCTCACTTTTTCCCTGAGCTGGACTGGACTATGCTCCTCCTATTTACATTTCTCTGTGTGTATCTCTGGGGATGACAGGTGTGTGCCATTTTTTCTAAGCCACTGGGTTACTACTGTAGCTGAGATAAAAGGTGCATGTCACTCTGCCCAGACAATAATTGAGATAGAGTTTCAAGAAATACTTTATACTGAGCTGACCTTGAACTGCCCCTCATGTCCACCTCCCCAGTAGCTAGGGCTATAGGTTTGAACCACCACATCTGAGTAAAGACATCTTTTCATAAAAAATTAACAACAACAAAAAACAACCTTGGGTGTCACTGGAGCTTGAAATCAGCACCTCATGTCTGCCTCATTTACAATCGTTTGATTACTAGTGAGATGGATTTTTGTAAGTGACTTTGTATGTCTTCTATTATAAGGTTTTTGCCTAACTGCTTTGCCTTTTCACATACCAATGTATTATTGTTGTCTTTCATGATATAAATACATAAATAAATAACAAGCTGGGCCCTGGTGGCTCACGCTTGTAATCCTAGCTACTCAGGCGTCTAAGGATTATAGTTCAAATTCATTCCAGGCAGGAAAAGTACATGGAACTCTTATCTCCAATTAACCAGCAAGAATCTGGAAGTAAAAGTGTGGCTCAAATGGCAAAGCATCAGCCTTGAGTATAAAAGCGAAAGGATAGCACACAGGCCTTGAATTCAAATCACATTACTCTCTCTCTCTCTCTCTCTCACACACACACACACATACATATACACACATCAGAGAACTCCATGGCATATAAGGAAGATAACAAGTTCAAATATAAATTCCAATAAACAATATATTTATTTATTTGTTTATTGGCACTGGATCAAACCCAGAGCCTCAAACATGATAGGCAAGTGCCATACCAGTATGCTACCCTTTCATATTGAGAGTCATTGGGGATGAAACTCAGGGCTTCGTACATTTTAGGCAGGTACTCTACCTTTGTGAGGCCTCCTGTATCCCTTTCTTTCTTTCTTTCTTTCTTTCTTTCTTTCTTTCTTTCTTTCTTTCTTTTTTTCTTTCTTCCTCTTTCTCTTTCTTTCTCTTTCTCTCTTTCTCTCTTTCTTTCTTTCTTTCTTTTTGTCAGTTGTGGGGCCTGAGCTCTGGGACTGGGTGCTGTCCCTCAGCTCTTCGGCTCAAGGCTAGTGCTCTACCACTTGAGCCACAGCACCACTTCCGGCTTTTTCTGCTTATGTGGTGCTGAGGAATCAAACCCAGGGCCTCAAGCATGCAAGGCAAGCACTCTACCACTGGGCCACCTTCCCAGCTTCTATTATTTCTTTTGTAAGGAGAAAAGCTCTTCCAGGCATCTGAGTCTCAATCCTATAATCCTATAATGCCTATAATCCTAGCTACTCAGGAGACTGAGATCTGAGGGATGTGATGCAAAGCCAGGGCAGGAAAGTCTGTAAGACTCTTATCTCCAATGAGCCACCAGAAAAGAAGTAGTGCTGTGGCTCAAAGTGGTAGAGTACTAGCCTTGTGTGAAAAAGCTTAGGGACAGTGCCCAGGCCCTGAGTTCAAGCACCATAACTGACAGAGAGAGAGAGAAAGAGAGAGAGAGAGAGAGAGAGAGAGAGAGAGGAGGGGAAGAGAAGCTCTGGTTCATGGTTTTGAAAATCCCAGTGCATGGTGGGGCAGACCTGTTGCACTTCATGTGGGAATATGTAGCAGAGCAAAACCACTCACGTCAGAATGGGAAAGTGAAAAGGAGAGTGAACAAAGTCCCATACTCCCCTTCAAGTGTATACAGACCTCTCACTAGGCTCCACCTCTTAAAAGTTCCACTACTTCCTGGTAGCACCATGCTGGGGGCCCACTCTCTAATGTGTGGGCCTTTGGAGGACACTTAAGACCCGAATAAAGTTTTGTCAGAACACAAGTACACACAACGGTCTGTGGATTGTCTATGGAGGCTTCACCTCCAGCAGCAGACCGAGTTGCTGTGGCAGAGCTCCCTTAGGGTGCTCTTCCCACTTCTCCCTGTCTCTGGCACACTACAGATCACAGGCAGGCAGCTTTGGCTCAAGCTTCCCTCTTGACTGGCAATGCCTAAAATGTTTCCTGTCCTTTTCCAGAAAAGGTTTACAAACCCAAGTACAGAGGTGAAAACTCTGAAAGAAAAACAAAAGGCTTCTAAGTGACCAGGGGCAATGCTTGCTAACCTGGTGAACAGGGGAGGAGGGAAGACAGTGGAAGTGTCAGGGGACTTGACAGACAGATGGTGGTGATATCCACTAAGGTTTGGAGGGTGGAGGAACCAGAGATTGAAGAGAGCTCTGAGATTATGAGCTTAGTTTTGATGTGTGAATATGAGTATCTGGAAGTTCAATCTGGATTTCAATTTGTAGCTGGAGAAAAGTAGAGATACAGTGAACCAGGAAGTTACATTAACAGAAGAAATTTTTACCTGGAGATAGAGAGAGGACATGTAAAAGATGATCAAGGATGCTGAGCACTGGTGTCTCACATCTGGAATCCTAGCGATTCAGGAGGCCGAGACCCTCAGATCTCAGAAGCCAGCCTCGGTAGGAATGTCTATGAGACTTTTATCTCCGACTGACAGACAAAAATATGGAAGTGGAGGTATGTCTCAAGTGTTAAAGTGCCAGACTTGGGCTGGGAAGGTGGCTCAGTGGTAGAGCGCTTGCCTTGCATGCATGAGGCCCTGGGTTCGATTCCTCAGCACCACATAAGCAAAAAGAAAAAAGCTGGAAGTGGTGCTATGGCTCCAGTGGTAGAGCACTAACCTTGAGCTGAAGAGCTGAGGGACAGCGCCCAGGCCCAGAGTTCAGGCCCCACGACCGGACCCCCCCCCCCAAAAAAAAAATAAATAAAGTGCCAGACTTGAGTGGAAAATCTGAGTGAGAATACAAGGTCCTAGAGTTCAAACCCAGTGCCAGCACAAAAATAAATGTGAGCCAGCTGCCAGTAGCTCACGTTTGTAATCCTAGCTACTTAGGAAACTATGATCTGAGGATTGCAGTTCAAAGCCAGCCTGGGCAGAGAAGTACATGAGACTTATTTCCAATGAACCAGCAAAAGAGTAGAAAATATAGGTCTGGCTAAAGTGGTAAAGTGTCAGCCTTGAGCCCATTGAGAGCACAAGGCCTTGAGTTCAAGTTCCAATACCAACACACAAAAATAAAAAAAGTGATAGAAGGAAGTGGATCTTCTCACTGTCTAATGTGAGGGTGTGACTCAGTGATAAGTGTGATCTTAGTTTTATTGAGGTCCTGGGTTTGATCCCCAGTATGAAAAAAAAGAGAGAGAAAGACTTATAATTTATACACTGTTACAGCTAACCCTTCTCCATATCGCCTTCCTATGCTCTGATCTGCAAAAGCAAAAGCCAGACACACCTGTTACGTACCATTTCTACTCCTCCAGAGGTATAAATACTACCCCAGAAGTCTCTATTACAAGGAGAAAACAATCCACTAATTTCTTAATTAAGCACAGGAAGATCAGTCTAACATTCTGTTAGAAAAGTTGCCTTGCTACTGTGAGTAATAAGGAAGCAAGCTGCTAGAGCAATGTCTCCTGGTGGCCTGGTAATAGTCAGAACTTACATACACACAAGACCTCTTGGTTTGCCAAACATTTATTTCCTTTCATCAGCCAAGTGGGAACCGGATTTGTGTTCACAGGTAGA